TTTTTAAAGAATCTCTGTTTTAATACTTACATTGGACAGACTTTTTAAACCATGAATTCTGTCAACTTTAGCACATAATTAATGGTTTTCCTAAACAAATTTGATAATTGTAATATAATTTGTGTCATTCCTAATTAGCACAAATGTAGGTAATAATCGCAAACAATTACGCATGTAGATGATCCAGTAAAATCGATCTTGCAGCTAGTTAAAGTAATCTTTACCTTGCAAATGTCAAGACTAAGGTGGATGTTTAAATGACATGTTATGACATACATGCCATGAAAGCTCCCATTCCATAACAACAAAGCAGTGCTTTTGTTAGTGGTATCCGATACATTCCGTAAATAAGTATGCCAAATCTAAGCTGATTGGTCTTTTTGTGAGGTTAAGTAAAGGTAAACGTCGTGTGTATGTGACCTCACACAGACGGGAGTTTTGTGATGAGAGGGACGGTAAGAAAAGGTGCGATCACATTTTTGCATTTAAAAAAAAACATGAAGTTTTTAAAAAGTAAATTAGCATTTACGTTTTATTCTGTTACAATAAATTTTTAAATATCTAGTTTAATAAAATTTTCCTTTTTAAACTTATTAAAAAGTTAACAATGGTTCTCCTTATACAGGGGAAACAACTCAATTATTTTTTTCTAGTAAATTTACCTAGCCTTGTTATATCCCCAATTTAAAAAAAGAGGTTTGTAAACTAGTTTACTTTTCATTTTTGTATATTACATTTTTTAAAAATTCTGGTTCGATAAAATTTTTCGCATCAAAAGTATTAAAAGTTAAAAAAAAGTATTTCAGTATAAAAGGGAAACAGCTCAATTATTGTTTTCCAGAAAATCTACCTAGTCTTGTTACAACCTAACAAAAATAGAAAGGTAAACATTTTTAAGCATAGGGGAAACAACTCAATTATTTTTTTCCAGAAAATCTACCTACTCTTGTTATACCCCGCCCCTTACAAACACAAAGAAAGAAGGTAACATTTTTTTAAGTATAAGGGAAACAACTCAATTATTATTTTCAGGAAAATCTACCTGGCCTTGTTATATCCCCTTAAAAAAAACCAACAAAATAGGCTTTCGTATGAAAGGGAAAATTTGTTTTAATTTTTAATACAGGGGAATACTCAATTGTTCTTTTTTAAGATAATCTACCAAGTCTTGTTATAACCATTACATAAAATATGAATAAAGTTTGCTAGAGTTTGAAAGGGTAGCATTTTCCTTTTTTTTTTAAAAACCGATCACTGTGAGTTATGAAACGTGCCCACAGCAATGACTCGCTATTCGCTCTTATTCTGCCTGTCTTATTTTCCTCGAGCAATGTATTGCACTAAATGTGCCACAGGTATAAGGGACGTAATTAGTAATAAAATAAATGTTTGGTTACCTCCCCTAGACCATGAAATCTACACCCTAGACTCAACTGAAGAAGAAATATTTGTAATAAAAGAAATATTGAAAACTTTTATAGCAACACGCATGAGTACACTTTGAACACTTGACAGATCAATGGGATGACAAACTTGAGTGTAGCTTAAAAATAACGATTTGAAAGTTTAGCTGATTGGGGGAATAAAAATTAATAACGCCAATAGAGATAGCTATAGAAGAGGTACAGATTGTTATAGACAAGGTAGAGAATGTTATTGAAGAGGTAGAGAATGTTATTGAAGAGGTAGAGAATGTTATTGAAGAGGTAGAGAATGTTATTGAAGAGGTAGAGAATGTTATTGAAGAGGTAGAGAATGTTATTTAAGAGGTAGAGAATGTTATTGAAGAGGTAGAGAATGTTATTGAAGAGGTAGAGAATGTTATTGAAGAGGTAGAGAATGTTATTGAAGAGGTAGAGAATGTTATTGAAGAGGTAGAGAATGTTATTGAAGAGGTAGAGAATGTTATTGAAGAGGTAGAGAATGTTATTGAAGAGGTAGAGAATGTTATTGAAGAGGTAAAGAATGTTATTGAAGAGGTAGGGAATGTTATAGAAGAGGTAGAGAATGTTATAGAAGAGGTAGGGAATGTTATAAAAGAGGTGGATAATGTTATAGAAGAGGTAGGGAATGTTATAGAAGAGGTAGAGAATGTTATTGAAGAGGTGGATAATGTTATAGAAGAGGTAGAGAATGTTATAGAAGAGGTAGGGAATGTTATTGAAGAGGTAGGGAATGTTATTGAAGAGGTAGAGAATGTTATTGAAGAGGTAGAGAATGTTATTGAAGAGGTAGAGAATGTTATTGAAGAGGTAGAGAATGTTATTGAAGAGGTAGAGAATGTTATTGAAGAGGTAGAGAATGTTATTGAAGAGGTAAAGAATGTTATTGAAGAGGTAGGGAATGTTATAGAAGAGGTAGGGAATGTTATAGAAGAGGTAGGGAATGTTATAAAAGAGGTGGATAATGTTATAGAAGAGGTAGGGAATGTTATAGAAGAGGTAGAGAATGTTATTGAAGAGGTGGATAATGTTATAGAAGAGGTAGAGAATGTTATAGAAGAGGTAGGGAATGTTATGGAAGAGGTGGATAATGTTATAGAAGAGGTAGAGAATGTTATAGAAGATGTGGATAATGTTATAGAAGAGGTAGGGCATGTTATAGAACAGGTAGAGAATAAAATAAAAGAGGTTAAGAATAATATATAGGTCGTAGAGAATGATATAGAAGAAAAAAAGAATGTTTTAGAAGAAGTAGAGATGGTTATAGAAGAGGAAGAGTAGGTCATAGAGAAAGATAAACAATATAAATAATTCAATTTGAAATTTTTTTACTTTGTGAAAGTTCAGAACTACTGATGGTTTTAGACGAAGATCAAGAATTTTTAGGCAAAGTCTTTATGTTATAATTATAATGTTATAATTATTTATATTAATACAAATCTATGAAGGCAAAGATTCCTTAAGATGCTGCCTCCGAGCAAGAGAGTCACAAAACGCTATCTGTTCATGTCATCTGTTCATGTAAACTGTTCATGTCATCTGTTCATGTAATCTGTTCATGTCATCTGTTCATGTTATCTGTTCATGTCATCTTTTCATGTTATCTGTTCATGTCATCTGTTCATGTCATCTGTTCATGTCATCTGTTCGTGTCATCTGTTCATGTCATCTGTTTATGTCATCTGTTCATGTCATCTGTAAACTTGTTCTTGACGCTGACAGAAAGTCAACAACTAATGTATTTCTATTGACATTTCCTCATTTGAATATGTTAATGGCAAATGGGGTAATTATAATCAACAATGTCATCAATTTTGGTCGTTTGTATCAGTAACATTATTTCTTGTAGTAAGTTTTTTTTTAATGCATCAGTTACCAGCATTGACCACATGATGCGGGCTCCACGTTACGTGGGTCACGTGATGCGGGTTGTTTACCACGTGATACCCGTTCCACCTTGCTTAGACGACGGGAACTTTATCCAGATGTTTGTATATCCTGTTCCCATTTAATTACGTTCCAGTTTTAAATTGTAGTCCAGTTTTTAATTAAATTAAACTTTTAATTAAAGTCAATTTTCACTAAAATTCCAGTTTTTAATAAAGTTCGAATTTTCAATGATAACCCAGTTTTTAAAGCCAAATTAAAAAAAAATGTCAGTTTTTAATTCGAGCCCACTTTTTATAATGATCCAGCTATTAGTTCGGCGTGGTCGAGTCGGTAAAGCTCATGGTTGCTAAACCGAAAAGTCTCGAGTTCGAACCCTCGGGCAGATGAGGCTCGTTAGCTGGGGACAGCCACTCTTCTAGGAGAGACAACTCCAAAATTAAACAACTGCTGCCTTGTAGATTGTTCTTGGTTGGACAAAGGCTATGGAAGCAAATCCAAAAAGAAAAGCAGGCTGAAATCGGAGTCAATGGCTTCAATGGCGCAAAACTAGTTGACACGTAACGCTTAATTGTGTTGGAGGCGTGGTCGAGTCGGCAAAAAAGCTCATGGTTGATAATTTCGAACAAAGTCTCGAGTTCGAACCCACTGGCAGATAAATCTCGATCTCCTTTAACACTAATAATTAAGAACGAAGAAGAAGAAGAAAGAAGTTTGACATTTTTTTTACACCCTGGAACGTAAGATGATAATTATCAAGTTCTTTACACATTTTAGCTATATAACGTTTATAATTTATAGTGATCTAGTATCTAGCAACTATAACCACTATACTCGTAATATTCACCACACATGTTTAGCTAATATAATACAACATTTTACTCATTAGGACATAATTAGATTTCAACAGACATATTCAACAACAACAAAAAAAACCCCACAAATAATGTGAAACATTGAATCCAATAACAATGACGAGGGCAGGATTTGAAAAGAAAGAGTTTAAATATATATATATATATATATATATATATATATATATATATATATATATATGTGTGTATTGATATATAATAATATACTATATATATATATATAATAGGGTTTTAATAATTTCACATAACGTTGATTTTTCAACGAGGAACACGCATATTGGCTTTTTTAAGTGAAAAAGAATTCGGTTAAACTATTTTTAAAATTTAAATTTTATTCTATCTAAATTTTGAAACTGTAAGTGTTGAAGGTCTCACTAACGCCAACAGCTGTCACAATCAGATAACATTCATGTCACTCGGGGGCTGGTGTGTGGAAATAGGTTCCATTTCTCTACGTCACTATCTGCTAATTAATCATTAGTGAGGACGTGGGACACGTTCAAAGATCACTTCATCAGATCGAAGAACGAAGGAGAGCATCAAAAGTGAACAAAGCGAGTTTTCATCTTCAAGTCAATTGTCACTATTCACACTCCCCCCCCCCCCCCCCCAAAAAAAAAACACAAAAAAAACTATTTGCATTTTTTTATGTTGCGCAAGTGTTGAACAAGTTCTAAAAGACAACGATACGGGTTCTAATGAATACGATAAAAGACAGCCATGAGGGTACTAGTGAATAATTTGAAAAGACGACTTGTCCATAAAAGCTACTACTTTTCTGTCCAACATTATATCATCCAATTGTTAACGTTCTTGAGCATATTAAAATTTGTTTTTTTCAGCATCGTGTAAGTGTTGTATATATAAACATATATATATATATATATATATATATATATATATATATATATATATATATATATATATATATATATATATATATAATTATTATTATTATTCTTAATATGAATTATTTACTGTTTGAGGAAATGTTTGATTGATGTTAAAACGATAAATGTTGCTCAGTAATAATTCTTGTTAAATAGCAGTTTACAGAATTACATATTTTCAGTGATGCCTTTACATCTTTTTCTTTGTGTTTATTTATTGTTTAAATCAACGTACTGTCTATTTAACTTAAATATGAAATAAAAAACATTACTATTATTGTTGATTGAAATCATTTGAAATGTTAAGTTTTCTATCCAGCATGAAGACTGTCCTCATATTGATGTGTCTAGCTGTCTTCTGTTCGATTGGGTGCGCTGCCCCAAACGTAAGTCTAAAATTGAAATTTAAGAGAAAAGAAATTTGATTATAAATTCACGTAACCTTATTTTATATTTGCTGTGTATAGATACTATATTATAGTTCAGTATGTCAGTGTTGTTGTATGTTGTATTGAAGGTGATAGTCAGTCAAGACACCGACTTGGGTTATATTGACACAAGTAAATCCAAAAGCTTCTACATAAGGAATGTTGATAAACGATCGCCCGAGAACGTAAGTCTGTTTATACCATAATTTAGGATATTTTTATCATACGTATAGGTTGCAGTGGGATGAAGAAGCAGAATTTCATGTATCATAGATTTGACATCGATCAATAGGTCCAATTTTACAAGTATTATTTGTGTTGAAAAATAGGACGGGGTTGTCATATCGTTGTTAGCCAGGTAGAAGTATGTCTAGGAAAAAAAGTATGTCTAGAAAACAATGTATTACTAAGTTAGACCCCCCTCCCTTTAATTAGCCAGTGACACCTAGATCTTGTATCAACATAGGTAAATGGCTAAGAACACACTATTGTAACCGCTGTTTCCTTTGTCCTAAGGGTTTGATTAAGCTTAAATTCGTTTACAATAATTAAAAATTTAGATCCAGTAAAGAGATTTGGTTTTATCGGCTAAGAAAAAATATAATGATATTTAAAGCATCCGTTGGTATAATTGTATGTTTCCTTTTTAGGCAGATGTCAACTTTGACAGTGACTGAACTGACAACTAGACACCAGAGGAGGCAACAGTTACTTGCACAGAAAACGGTTCTCAAAGTTTGAGTTGGTGGAGCCTGTCCTTTTATTTAGAGAGGAATAATAAAAGTTCTGTCAAGTTCACGGCGTCAAATGTGCTATTGATTTTTTGTCTGTTGCTTCAATACAATGAAACATAAATTTTAAGTCTATAGTATAAAACCTGTGGTATGTGGTCGAACTACCGATGATGTGGTCTCCTGGGTGATGTGGTGATGATGTTAGTGGTCTGGATGGTGTGGTGATGATGTCGGTGGTCTACTGGGTGATGTGGTGATGATGTAGGTGGTCTACTGGGTGATGTGGTGATGATGTTGGTGGTTTCCTGGATGGTGTGGTGATGATGTCGGTGGTCTACTGGGTGATGTGGTGATGATGTAGGTGGTCTACTGGGTGATGTGGTGATGATGTTGGTGGTCTCCTGGATGGTGTGGTGATGATGTAGGTGGTCTCCTGGATGGTGTGGTGATGTTGTTGGTGTTGGTGTTCTCCTCGGTGGTGTGGTGATGATGTAGTTGGTCTCCTGGATGGTGTGGTGATGATGTAGGTGGTCTCCTGGATGGTGTGGTGATGATGTAGGTGGTCTCCTGGATGGTGTGGTGATGATGTAGGTGGTCTCCTGGATGGTGTGGTGATGTTGTTGGTGTTGGTGTTCTCCTCGGTGGTGTGGTGATGATGTAGTTGGTCTCCTGGATGGTGTGGTGATGATGTAGGTGGTCTCCTGGATGGTGTGGTGATGATGTAGGTGGTCTACTGGGTGATGTGGTGATGATGTGGGTGGTATCCTGGATGGTGTGGTGATGATGTAGGTGGTCTCTTTGATGGTGTGGTGATGATGTAGGTGGTTTCCTGGATGGTGTGGTGATGATGTTGGTGTTGGTGTTCTCCTCGGTGGTGTGGTGATGATGTAGGTGGTCTACTGGGTGATGTGGTGATGATGTTGGTGGTCTCCTGGATGGTGTGGTGATGATGTAGGTGGTCTCCTGGATGGTGTGGTGATGATGTAGGTGGTCTACTGGGTGGTGTGGTGATGATGTAGGTCGTCTCTTTGATGGTGTGGTGATGATGTTAGTGGTCTGGATGGTGTGGTGATGATGTAGGTGGTCTCCTGGATGGTGTGGTGATGATGTAGGTCGTCTCATAAATGATGTGGTGATGATGTAGGTGGTCTCCTGGATTGTGTGGTGGTAACTGTCTAATGGTGTTGGTGACCTACTGGATGGTGTGGGTGATCTATAAAGTGAAGATTGTGACCCCCAGGATGTCGAAAGTGACCTCGCTAATATTTAGTGTCACTTCCCAAATACGTTGGGTCACCCCCGAATATTTTGGGTCACCTTCAAGCGGTGTTTTAAACAGTGAATGTCTTGTACTTACAAATTCATTGCTAGCTGGGACGATGTGAAATACATTAAGTACTTATATTGGTTTCTCTTTTTTACTTTCTCGTATATACGAAGTATAGAGAAAGTCTTGTAATCGTGCAAAAAAAAAATCGAGATTTTTGCAAATCTCAACGTTTTACACATTCCTGAATCGGAACAACATAGTTTTGCAATCTTGTCTCTGTGTGTGTGTGTGTGTGCATGTGTGTGTGTGTGTGTAAGTGTGTCTGTCTGTCTGTAAACACGATAACTTGAGTACGTTACAGCTAGTCTGCAATACTCGGTAATTAAAGATTTAGATCTAATAACAATGTAAAGTTTCTAATTTTGAGCAGAGCTTGCTTAACTACTTTAATATGTTTTGTGCGAAACAAGTGTATGTTTTTATATGAATAAATATTGTTTCATATTTTAAGCAATTTATTTTAAATATATATATATATATATATATATATATATATATATATATATATATATATATATATATATATATAAATGCTGGGTTCTTCGGTCTAGGGGTATATAAATAACAACCGACAAATACAACGTATACAACAGTAGATAACACTAACACTAACAATCTATAATAACAATAATAATAAGATATTTAATAATATATACAGTACTAAAATAATAAAAAGATCAAAAGGGTCTACAACATAAATATAATACTCAACACCACGTTCCACGTTCCACGTCCACAGCCACACTACCACTACTTCACACACTGACACACGCTCTGACACCCGTCAACTGACACACCTGACGTGAACACCTCTCGCTCCATGTAACTACACTCAACCAAGGGCTACAACCATAGTAAAGGGGAGGGGTACCTGTCGCTCAAGCACACAACACACACACACAAGCAGGGGACATGTAAGGGACACAACAATATATATATATATATATATATATATATATATATATATATATATATATATATATATATATATATATATATATATATATATATATATATATATATAATATCATTATATTGAAATAAAAATGTGGTAAATTGTAACTTTTGGCTCTTCGGTCCCAAAAGGTTGCCGACCCCTGAGCTAGGTTTATGAAACTTCATATATAACTATTATATCAAATTAGTAGATCCAAATAAACTTTTCAGCAATTTCCGATAACCGGAAGTGGAACTTTTTCTACTTTCAATTTTTCAAAAGCCTATAACTTGATTACTATTTCAGATAGATTTATGAAATTTCACATGTAAGTAAAAGATCTAATTCTCTGCCTCCTATCAAATTTGAGTAACTTCTACCGGAAGTAGTAATTTAAGCTATTTCCGATTTCTCAAAAAACGCATGTGAATTTATAAAGTACTAATAATATTCCGCACTATTATACACATTTTATTTGAGGTTCGCTTGGTGTACAATTCTATTTTCTACGAGATTCTATTATATTTTTAAAAGTTTAGCAATATGTTGCACCCTCCACACACCACAATCTACTAAATGTTTTAGGGGTTGGTGTATGTCAATATGTTGCACCCTCCACACACCACAATCTACTAAATGTTTTAGGGGTTGGTGTATGTCAATATGTTGCACCCTCCACATACCACAATCTACTAAATGTTTTAGGGGTTGGTGTATGTCAATATGTTGCACCCTCCACACACCACAATCTACTAAATGTTTTAGGGGTTGGTGTATGTCAATATGTTGCACACTCCACACACCACAATCTACTAAATGTTTTAGGGGTTGGTGTATGTCAATATGTTGCACCCTCCACACACCACAATCTACTAAATGTTTTAGGGGTTGGTGTATGTCAATATGTTGCACCCTCCACACACCACAATCTACTAAATGTTTTAGGGGTTGGTGTATGTCAATATGTTGCACCCTCCACACACCACCATCCACTAAATGTTTTAGGGGTTGGTGTATGTCAATATGTTGCACACTCCACACACCACCATCCACTAAATGTTTTAGGGGTTGGTGTATGTCAATATGTTGCACACTCCACACACCACCATCCACTAAATGTTTTAGGGGTTGGTGTATGTCAATATGTTGCACACTCCACACACCACAATCTACTAGTTGTTTTAGGGGTTGGTGTATGGCAATAGCTTGCACCCACCTTACACCACAATCTAATAATTATTTTAGGGGTTGGTGTATGTCAATAGCTTGCACCCTCCTTACACCACAATCTAATAATTATTTTAGGGGTTGGTGTATGTCAATACGTTGCACACTCCACACACCACAATCTACTAGTTGTTTTAGGGGTTGGTGTATGTCAATATGTTGCACACCCCTTACACCATAATCCACTAATTGTTTTAGGGGTTGGTGTATGTCAATATGTTGCACACTCCTTACACAACAATCCACTAATTGTTTTAGGGCAGAGGCGTAGCGAGGGGGCGGGGGGCGGGTTGGGGACATATGTCCCCGTGCGCCGACCTTATGGGGCGCCAAAATGGGTTGGAAAAATAATTGAAAGCTTGAGGGGGGGGGGTGCAAATTGAAAGTTCGAGGGGGAAGGGGGGGGCAATTCGAAACCTTGAGGGGGGGGGGATGCAACTCGAAAGTTTGTCCCCGGGCGCCGGGAAGGGTCGCTACGCCTCTGTTTTAGGGGTTGGTGTATGGCAATATGTTGCACACTCCTTGCACTACTATCTGATCAATAAATATTAATCAGCCCGTAGGTAACTTCCACGATTATAATCGATGCGTGTGATCAGAGACCGCGCATATAATTGAGTACTTTGGAATGGTGTTGAATACTTTGAAAAGAAGACAGCAAAGGTTCTAATGAATAAGATAAAAAGACGGCAATGTGGGTACTCTTGAATAATTTGAAAAGACGACTTTCCCATAAAAGCTACTACTTTTCTGTCCAACATTATATCGTCCATTTGTCAACGTTCATGAGCATCTGGAAATTTTTCACAGCATCGGGTAAGTGTTATATATGTATATATATATATATATATATATATATATATATATATATATATATATATATATATATATATATATATATATACATAATATATATGTGTGTGTGTATGTGAAATGTATTGTTTGAGTGATTATTTTATGTAGACTGTGTTATCCTTGTATGACCGATCTTAAATTCTACTCGGCTGATAATTAATAATTACTTACCCTGCTTAGAATAGACTTGAAAAGCTGGTTCCAAATGGTTCAAAATTCGTGTTACCAAAAAGCATATTTTTCAACAAAAATTGAATTCTTAATAGCATTTTTGTAATAAGTACCAAATTACTTCCTTTATCATTAAGGCTAGAAATAGCCAAAGAAATAATTATTAGTAATATAATAGTAAATTAGCAAGCACTTTTATTTTTAATTTGGATTACTAGAGGAATTTTTTTGTGGTGATTGGGGATGTTATATTATTTAATATAAATACAATACAACGCTATACACCATAGATCACTATTGTGTATTTTTATCATGGAGAATAATTGTTCTGACATTCATTGGTTTACTCTCCCTGGCCATTCCGGTTGACTTCAAGCAGAGGTTGAGGGCAGTTTTTGAAAATATCAGAATAGATAAAATAATTCTAAACGCTATTCGATACAAAAATATTAAAAAGAGTGCAATAGATTGTTCCCAAACGACTTGAATTTTTACAAATGTAATTATTATTTTATCGCTTGCAATATTTTAAAAAT